TCTCTCCTCTCTCTCTCTCTCTCTCTCGGGGTTACTCAAGTACTATGTAGGGACTAGTTGAATGTGGCGTTGTCGACGCTGTAAACTGTTTTACAAGTATTTCCATGTGTTGAAAATTTATATCACCAATACCTTTGTTCAAAGTTGTTACAGTATCTAGCATTGGACATACCAATGAATCGGAGTAGCTAATAATATTTTACTTCTGTCCAAAAATTTCCAACCCCCCAATGGCCTTGTATGTTTCCTCCATGGGGGATATGTACTGGTAATATTGTAATTTTAAAATTATAAACGTAAAAATACTTGCAGGTACGAATGAAGCTGAATTGTTAGAATTTAGTAAGCTACATTTTTTGCTAATATGCACATAAAAATCATTTGTATGCTGCTCTTCAGCGTTATTCTCTAATAAGATAATTCTCAATTAGTTCCGAAAATTCTGTCGCAAAATCTACTACAACTACATTTTCTTTTTCCCCAGATTTGCTTACCATACACATATTTTTGTCCTCTAATCTTTGAAGAGATTAAAACTCTACAAAGTCAGTCTGATTATGTTTACTTCTATTTCTGCAATTGCTCTATTTATTGTTTTGTAGTCAAATTTGTAAACAATAAAAGGCGACTGTTTTGTATGTTTATGTGAATAAGGTGTTAGATACATTTGAATACGAATAAGTTGTTACATTCATTTGAAAACCGGTATTTGCAGTTTAAGAACGTAAATGTGCTTTTGTAGTTCAAACAAATGTTTCGCACCAGGAGACTGAGACTGAGTATGACACCTCATACATTTTGATTGGTGCACTGGAAGTAGCCTAATCATGAGTGATGGATCCGTGTGTGTTTTTTAACTCCAACATTGAGGGGGTGGGGTGCGACTCTTGAATCCCACCTCTGATCTCGCACAAAATGTGTAAGGTAAGGGAAGTAAATATGGCCAGTGCTGGTAATATAGTCAAGTAGCACCTATGATATTAACTGAAACTATTTCCGATTGACTGTGTTAGCATACAGTCTGGGAACATGTAAGGAGCGCATTAACACCCTACCAGACTTGTTGATTCGCACTGAAGTCGCTCTGTCCTTATAGCTTCTTATAAACTTTCGTGCTATTGTTTTAAAAAAGGATTTATTTCAGGCTGTATTTTGTAAGATTAGACACTCATGATCTTGAAGGATGGCCAGTTTCCCACCAGTAGGAAAGCAGCTGAAAGACATCTCATTTGTCCCAAACAATCAACTGGAAGATCTCTAACAGTAAGTGAAGGACAGGCATACACAGCTTACCCAATTACTATATGTATGATTTCACATAAAAAATGCATTAAAATTTTGAAAGTACTTAGCAATGGTAAATAAAAATTCAAAAGAAAATATGACTTGGTTTAACAAAGTACTAGCACTCTTTTTAGCAGTAGCACAAGCAGTACTTTATCTTGCTGACATACACAAATTTTTCAGAACTCAAACTTTAACATAAGCTAAAGAACTTCATTGTCCTATTTTCCTAACATTTTGTGAAATAAGTCAGGGTTTGCATTCAGACCAACTTTTTCCCTTTCAGGTAATTGTGAAAGTATGATCAATCACTTAAAAATATTGGATATGTTTTTGGAAGGTGTGGGCAATGTTGGGCTATTAACATGAGGATTTTAATAAGCTTTAAATAAAAAGTTCTGATTTTACAATTTAAAGTTGTATTTATTTATAAAAATGAAGTTTATTAATAACATATGCAAAACCAGAGTTGAATATATTAATTAATTCATACTTTCAATTTCATTGACTCTACTGCATTTAACTTTGACAGCAGGTAAAGGCCCAGTGTCTAAAAAACAATTCAGGCAACTCTTTCTGAAGGCAAAATAAGAAACAATCAAAACCTGGTCAATGAACTTGCTCCTCCTTTTACTCCCATTATCATACAAAACTTAAGACTAACTGCATATACATACAATTGACCATTGAAACAAAATGAAAACAAAATTATAATTGTATTCACCGAATTTAATTTCAATAATTGTTTTCAAAAATCTTTGTTCAAATGATACACATACTGGCTTTTGCAAATTATTTCCTTCTTCAGAAGAATCATGATGTATTAATTATATGAAAAATCTGATATATAATAATTATATATAATAATACAAAAACCATGAAAGTATGCGAGACTAGTACACAAAGAAAACATGTGTATTTGATTGCACAAGAAAAACATAAACGAAAAAAGTACATAACATCATCTTGTAAAAATATCTTTTCACTTGAAAAATGTGTATTCATTTAACAATTCCAACTGACTTGCACAAACTCTCAAATTAAATTAGGTACATGTCAGGCCTGTTGGTGCTTTCCAAGAAAAAAAAAATCAAAATAGTTATTCACAGCAAACATTCAGTTCAGTGTATTTCTTGTGCCCCTATTATAAAATATGGAATAATTAATATAAAATAACAAGTCATGAAGTACAGCAGTTGAGCCATAACATCATTTGAAATTATGATCACAGTGAGAAAACACATAAGTAGTGTTTGAGACACTCCTCCCCATTAGCTTGATCCCCATTTATATAACATTATTGTGGGCAAATTGTTTAACAAGTGCATATACCAAGCAAAAGACAGTGGTGTATGTTCAAATACTATGAACAAGAAACACAAAACAGATTGTCATATGAAATTCCAGTATTTTCATTACACTATTCCATTTCTTAACTAAACCTCTTTAATTATATACATTTTTCTACATACAAAAGTACCTCAAAGTTTTCTCAGGAACGGAAACATCTATTCCATGATCTATATACAAAACTATGAACCACAGCCATGCATTACGACCAGATTAAAATTTAACTTGTGAAGTGATAACAGTAACTTCAGCAAACCTTTGGTGATTTTCAACAACATGGAACTCAGCCTGTGAGTCTTGACATTCTGTAGTGTGATTGTTCATTGCTCTTACAATAAAAAGTATATTTATATTATTTATTAAAATCAACATACGGAATTCCCTTGCATGAATAATTATCTACGTTTCTTAAATGCATAAAGTGATGTCACACCCCTTGTGATTATCCATCACCTATTATCACAATGTGAACTGTAGCAGTTATGTATACTCAAGGTTCATTGACCTACAAGTTTATAAAGACAAATTTTATAAAATGTCATATAGACTCAAATCTTTCAGTACATTGGGATATGGTGTACTGTAATGATGGGAACTATTCATCAAATGGTGATAATGGTGAGCCTTTGAAATTTCTCAGGTGTATCTGAAATAAAAAAGTTAAATAAAATTTAGAAGCATTCACAAAACGTACACATAAAATTAACTTATGCTATTGAATATTTAGGAACTAAATAATAATAATAATAATAAACCCAAAAATATTATGATAAATAAATAAAGATATTGTCAGGTATCAATATTTTAATTCAACTTATGATCATTTCGATTGCGTAGCGATCATCCTCAGAGCTTGCAGCTTCTGGGCCGAAAACAAAGTTCTGCCCAGAAGCTGCAAGCTCTGAGGATGATCGCTACGCGATCGAAACGATCATAAGTTGAATTAAAATATTGATACCTGACAATATCTTTATTTATTTATCATAATAAAAAGGTATCTACTTCACCAACAATCCAATTAACCAAAAATATTAATCTTTCATGAATATACCCTTTCATGAAAGGGGCTAAAAACATAGTATAGTGGAGGCAATTATTTAGGTAGGACACCTGAATATATTGTTCCTAGCCATGCATTTGCCTGTACTTATAAAATAAAATGAAATATTTAAAAGAGATATATAACGCAACTGATTACCCAATAAAACCTACTGTATGAAGGCATTTGGGTAAAGTAGAAAACTTCAAACCAAAAGGGATCATCAATTAATCTCCAGAAGAGTCATGTGTGACATCATCATCATCATCATCATCAGTGCCACTAGAGACATTGATTTCATCTGAGTCAGTAACAATTAAATCCAAACTAATTCTACTAATACCGAAAATCAACAACTATATGAAACCTGTATGTAAACTTAATGACTTTAAAATACTGGAACAAGGAATAACATGTTACAATGTAGTTTCTCCTAAAAAAAATTAAGTATGATAGTTTTATCTAAGTAGTATTAGAAGCATAAATGCAAACTTCATCATACTTGAAGCTTTTATTGAGAGATTAAAAAGTAAACCTTATATTATTGTAAATATTATGATGATTTAAGGCTTAAGGGCGCTTCAACAGGTACAGTCATTCGTGCCCATGTCAAATTATTTTAAGAGTAGAGCGCACTGTAGCAGTGCCACACTAAAACATTTATTAATGCAAAAGTGAAATGTGAATAAAAAAGAAAATGAACGTGTTCAATTATAAAAAGGGGTTTGGCAGAAAAGAGCCAGATAAACACTTTAAAATCTTTAATTAAACGCCAAATAATTAGCATTATCCTCTTCTCTCAGAAAACGCAATTAATGACAGTCTCTCGTAAACAGCAAAAAAGCTAGCTAAGAGAATATTCGTCATTTCCAAGCACCTGCGGTAGAGAGAAGTGCAGCAAGGTGATGCCTTCGGTGGCTATTTCTTACTTTAGAACAGTGCAGGAGAGCATGTTCCACAGTAAGATCCGTTCCACAGCAATGGCAATATAATCCGTTTCGCAACAATAAATGATGAATTTAGTGTTGGATATTCATTATCAGAGGGTCACAAGAAGAGAAACAGGAGATAGATTCCAGCGAGCTTTTTGAATCACTGCTTCCTTTAATGTCATTGATTCAATGAACTTAAGTGCCTCCAAGTGTGCATATTTCTCTGCAGTATAAACACTGCAAGAAGAGTCTATTCGAAGACTCCGCGTAGCACTATGGCAGTAGAAGGCACATCCTACATTACCATTTTGGGAGAAACCATCAGTGTGCATGAAGTTATAGCCGGGATATAAGGATTGCGTCTCCTGAAATTTCGCACGAAATTTACTAGGGGATTTGGGGAAGGTTGATAATCTCATGTCTATTTAAGGCTGGAGAAGCTTCCAATGGGGAATTCTATATTGAGTGTTTGCAAAAGCGGGAAGAGACGGATAGGCTTGAGCTGATCCGTATACCGGCATTGTGTATGGTATTTAGTTGCCAGATGATGGCCTTATATAGGCGCAAGAGCCACACTAGGTCTGCGCCCCATGATCTACCAGTAAGGGTGCGAAGGAGGTTCAAGGAGATACATATCGGGTCAAGTTTTTAACATGCTTTCACCATGTTAAACTCTTGGCGAACGGCAAGTCAAGGAAGGTTGCAGATTCGACGAAGGGAAGTTGATGACCCCCCCCCCCAAAAAAAAACTCAGAATGATTACAGAGGTGATAAATTTTGCAGAACTGTATGCATCTGGATTTTGAAGTGGAGAACTTGAATCCAGTTTTATTGCGCTATTCCTGCAGTTTGTTAAGGACAAGCTGTAACTGCCTCTCTTGCATACTCTTCAAGGAGCAAAATATGGCAAAGTCGTCAACGAAAAGCGATGCTTACTCAAGCTCTCGAATTACTGATTCGATACTAAACATAGCAATGGCATATAAGAGTGCTAGTCAAAACCGATCCCTGGGGACCCCCATTTTCTAACTGGTGATTTGAGGATCACGTGTCGGATGCGGAAAGATCTTGATAAAAGAAAATCTTCTAGAAACAAAGGGAGCCGTCCCCAAAAGCCCCAAGAATGTAAGATGCGAAGAATGCCGTACCTCCAGGTGGTGCTATACACTTTCTTTATGTCAAAAAACAATTGCTACCAGGTGTTGACGTAGCACGAAAGAAGTGAAGATCTGTGTCGCAAGGGAAACTAAGTGGCCTATGGTTACCCCGTGCTTCCTGAAACCACATTGAAAAGATGTAAATAGGTTCCTTTGATCCAGAAGTCAGACCACACGTGTTTACTATTCGCTCTAAAAGCGTGCACACACATCTAGAGTGCGAGATTGGGCGGTAACTTGAGATTGTTCAGTCCTTTCCTTCTTTAGGGATTGGAATAACAATGGCTTCTCGCCAAATCCCTTGTATGGCATGTGCAACCCAAATCAGGTTGAAAATGCGGAGGAGAAAAGAACGAGCGTTTTGTGTGTAGGTGTTGAAGCATTTGATTATGTATGTGCTCTAATCCTGGAGCAGAATCTTTCGCGCAAACGAGGGTACAGGAAAATTCATCCATGGAGAAAGGAGCATTGTAATCTTCCTCCACGTGACTCGAGAAATCTACTCTGCAAATCCCCATTCTCCTTTTGGTGTTCAAGCCAATTCTTCAACTATATCTTTTGGTGAGGTGAGAGGATATCTATTTTCCAGAAACCCTAAGACAGAGGCGAAGGAAGTCTTCCACCGATCAGTAGAACCTTTCGCCACACTACTTGAGGGGGCGTACGGCAAGAGAGTGATGAAATATAAGCTCCCCAGGACGCTGCCCTACTTTCTCGTATGATCTCTCTAGCTCTGGATCTTTTATAATTTATCAGATTATCCATAGTTGGGAACCTACTAAGCTTTGCCAGGGCCCGCTTCCCATCACGCACCGCGGAGGCACAGTCGGCATTCCACCATGGCACGGGAGGATGTCACGGGCGACCCGACGACTTCGGCATGGTAATTAAGGCCGCACGAAGAACGGCATCAGTAAAATGGGCAACCATAACATCAATATCGTTTGAGCAGTTTTCCGATATCTATTTCTTCCTCGAATGTTAGCCATTCAGCTCGGTGGGTTAGCCAGCGAGGAGAACGGACGTTTAGGTCGAGAATATCGGAATTGACCAGAATGGAGAAGTGGTCAGTGCCATGCTGGTCGCCAAGGGTAGTCCATTCAAAGTTGGTAGAAAGAGATGGACTACAGAGAGCCAGAGCCCGGAGGCCATCATCAATAGGTTGCTTTTAGCAACAAAAATCCACGATGAGATAGGGAATGCTAAAGAAGATGTGTTTCCTGCAGGCAGATAACAACGGGTCTATAGAGACACTATCAGCTTTAATTTGTCTAAACGAGTGCGAAAGCCATTGAGGTCCCATGAGAGGAGAGCCATAATTTCTAGGTGTTACGTTCTACGGAGTTCTTTGTCAGGTTTCTTTTTATTTTTTTTCCTATTCTGTTGAAGAGTGATGAACGTGTTCAAGTGGGGCTCATCGTTCCCTGTCGCCAGACTCGGGAGACCTTTGGCTATTGATACGATAGTACCGGCGATCTGGATCTAGAAATAGGGCCTATCGGCCTTGCTTGAGGCAAGGTAACTGATAACTGCATTCGGCCGAAGTCTTCAAAGGACACTTGACAGGCAACATCGCGCACAGAGATAACTTTCGGTGTTTGGGTTACGCAATTTCTGGTCTTTGGCTGTTGACCCACGGTATCAGCGAAACATATTTACAGGGTTACACGTCTGATATCGAGGTCGTGCCTCAGGAAAGGAAACATTCGAGACACGGATCTTCAGGATCTACCTTTCTTTCAAGAAGATAGCGCAATGGGTGATTCCCAGAACAATTTACGCACATTGGATTTGCGGAGCAGTTCGAATCGTTACGTAATTCTTTTCCACAGTGTACACACACTGCGGTACTCATGTAACGGGACTTCGTATGGCCGAATATCTGGCATTTAAAGCAGCGCAGACGATTTAGCACATGCTGCCTGACAAAGATATTGTAGTAGCTACATGATATTTTCTCTGACAGAGATGGACGATCGAAGATCAGTATCAGCGTTGAGGTAGAGGTAAGTACGTCATTCATTCTCCGCTAGATCTTCTAAATGTCCGTCACACCTTCAGGCTAAAATAAGGCTCTCATGTCTTCCGTTTCTAATGCAAAATCTTCATGATTCACAACATCCTTGCAGAGGTTTAAGTTCGGGTGGGTGGGCACATGTACCTGGAGGCCGGCTATTTCTTTTAGATCTGAGATTTTCTTGATCTGATCGTCGGCACGGCATTCAAAAGGATTGTGCCCTTTCTCTATCGAACCACATCCTGAAACTTGACGATTTTTCCTATTTCTCTGGCGAGTTTAATAGCACTGACACTTTTTGTTTCTCCGTCTTCAGTACACGACATGATGAGAAAACGGGGCTTTGTTGGTCTATCCGAGTCTTTGCATAAAAAAATAAAACAAAAACTATCCAGACTGACATTTCACCAACAAATTTCCTCTTCCTTGCGGAAGAGGGCGGGGGGAGGTTTGGCGTCCATGGAGAGGATATCAGATTCATTGCCGTGGTCCCCACCCACC